GTGGTCACAGATGAGGATTTCCTGTTGGAATCACCGATAGGTCAGGCATTATTCAAAAGCATTAACTGGGATTACATATATCGGTGGCTACTGGTCTTGATCTTGGGCAAAAGATTTTGACTCAGTCATGCTTCCGGCCAATTGCATCTCACTACTAGTTTTCCTTTTTGTCATAGCTTTTATTTCTACTTTCTATAAACGATGGCAATGTATTTTTCGTATCAGGACTCTATGAATTCCTTAGCAGAACAACGTAGTGCCAGCCACTTACGTCACCTAGTCACATGCAATGGAGGTTTGGACTAACTCCACCATTTGACTCCAGCATAAGAGTAGGTAGATGGAGAAGAAAAGATAATCTTGGTGAGGAAAAGAAAGTACAAAAGTAAGTGATAAGTGTATTTCTACACTTATTCGAGATCTTAAATAATGACATTTTACAATTCATTTGATGAATTATTTGTTATGTTTAATAGGTAAAACTCATGATTTGACGAAGAATTGGAGAAAACAAGCTAAAAGTAAATAAGAATAGAGAATTTTAAAGTTCAGGGACTAAAATGCAAATAATCAAAAGATGAATTGGACATAAGAACAAAGATTCGAAAGTTTTAAAAGACAATTAGATGAGAATAGAAGGTAAAGTTATGAAAAGGAATCAAGAAGAACTAAAAAGTATACATGAAAAAGTTCATGGACCAATTTGCATAATTGGTCCCAAAAGCTAAAGCCTATATGTACTTATAGGCCTGTAGGCCTTGCATACGCATGACCATCAATACACTGAACTGAGGCTAAAATCATTCTACCATGTGTACGCACGAAATATACCACGCGTATGCATAGCTTTCCGGGTCGGAAAGATTTTCTTTCCTTTTTCTTGCTTCGACTCCTTATGGTATGATATTTGACACCCTTTTAACCTACAAAGAGCCTTCCAGAATGTATAGGGAAGCAATTATTTCATATTCTATCATTGAAGCGACTCCTAATACGAGCTTTAGAAAGAATTAACAATTGAATATTTAAGGCGCAAATCAAAGGAAAAGTGCAAGAAATTTATTTCTCAAGCTTCTACGTCTATTCTTTGAATTGGGTATTGTCTTTTCGTAACTTCTTGTGTAATTTAGATACAATTATGTTAAGCTATACTTCTCTTGTGTATTGGATGGATGATGAAACATTTTGAGTTATATTTCCAATTCAAAACTTATCGTATTTTAATTATTTCTTCTGTTTGTGATTAAATATACATGAATATTGTGTTATTTGATTAATTAACTACCAATTAGATAACTTGTTGCTTATCCATAGTGTTAGTAGACTTACAATAAGACGAACACCTCATATTTGGCACGTGCACCAAAAAATAGCTTTTGCAACACATAAAAGGCAACATTTGGTAGTTAAATGTTGCTAAAGGGGTCTATCGCAACATTTTAATACGTGGATGTTGCCATTGCTTAACAAACTTGAGCTTTGGCAACATTTTTTAAGTGAATGTTGCTAATATTACCTTTTTGCAACGTTTTTTTAGTGTTGCGAAATTTTTTAAAGACAAAGCTTTTTGCAACGAATGTTTTTTAAACGTTGTGAAAGACGTTTTTAGCATAGGGTTATGGTCAAAACAGTGCGGATGCTATCATAGGGTTATGCAGCGGAGAACTATGATGTGGCCATTGTTGGGAATTGTGCTTACTGTAGGAAGCACATTCAGGACAAAATAAAAGAGCAGATTGGGATTCTGTTTTTACGACAATGTGCCATTGATGAAGATACTCTGTTCTCGAAGGAGAGAGGTTAATCTGGTCAGAAATATATCGTATACGGCAACAAGAACTTTAGATAGGTTGTGTTGTACCTAGTTTATTAACTAGTTTATTATAGTTTTGCTATTTAATCCTTACTCCTTTTTAGATAGGTTGTGTTGTAACATTCTAATGTTGTATTGATTAAAAATTTATAATGAAATTATCAATTTTTATGTAATTTTGAAATTTGTTCCCAAAGTGTCATTTCCAATTTTGGCAGTCAATTATCATATATAACTAAAAAAACGTCTACAGCAACGTTTAAAATATGTTGCAAAAGGATGTCTACGGCAACGTTGAAAAAACGCTGCAAAAGGTTCTACCGCAACATTTAAAAAACGTTGCAAAAAGGTTTTTCGCAACATTTAAAAAATGCTGCAAAAAGTCTTCAATCAATGGCAACACCGACCTTCGCAACACACGCTAAAACGTTGCAAAAGGTCTACCACTGCGTCTTTTGACCGTTGCAAAAGGTCTTCTTTGGTGTAGTGATAGGATCGAATCGTGTTAAGCATAGGTTTAATATATCTCGGAATAGAATATATTATTGAATATTAATGGATTATCAATTGTCACGAACACATTAATAATGCTAACTTACATAAGTCGAGAATTAGAACTAGACATCAATAGGTGGATTTTGAAATGTAATACATTTATTTCGTATTTGATTAAAGACCAATCTCTTATAACTTTCATAGTTTAGCTAGAATTAAAATAAAAATATCATCGAATTTGGTAGAAACTGGTAAACTATAATTACATTTATTCTTCGTGGGACGATAACTCAATTCACTACATTATTATTTGTCAATGATTTCGTACGCTTGCGGGTTTTGTCCGAACAATAAGAAATATGGTAAACATGCCTTAAACATCCGTTTGAGGGTATTTTATAGATATATAGTTTTCGTCAATGTGATAGGAGGTTCTTGTCAATCTGCCAAGTGGTTTCCATTCACGTACGTGCCGATGACTTTGAGATTATTCAGATACAAACCCCCCCCCCCCCTCATTTCCATCATTTGGTTAAGTGGTTAGCATAACCTTCATTTAGTTATTCGTGGAGTCAGTGGCGGACCCAGCCTCGAAGCTCAGCCCTGGTGGTCAACGATCGTAAGAGCGAGTTCGATTATTAATATTTAATTATATAATATTAAAAACATATTTAATATATATGTAAACGCACTAAAAACATAAAAAAATTTTGTGTGTGTCTGTGTGTGTGTATATATATATATATATGAAAACGTAATTCAATACAACCCAAAATGCTAAAAAAATACGTAATACAAACTAGAAACACCACTAGAACTGGAAGAAACGGGTACAGACTTTCGTTTCGGTTGGAAAAATCGTTCCATAATCTACGATAGCAAGTGTGAAACATAAATCAATGAATTTGTCTCTCATAATCTCATACAACTAATTTCTCAGATTTTGCCTAGAAGGGTGTGAGCTCAAGAAGTCATTTTAAATCCACACCAATTTTTAAAAACATTGCATTGAGTATAACCCTATTTAGTTTAGTTAAAAATTATATTTGAGTAGATATTGATTAAAATTGATTAAACATATGGTTGAAAATTTGATAAAAGTTATAGATTCCATGAGATGTATGGTTGAAATAAATTGTTGATTTTAACTTAAATTTTTATTATTTTTTTTAACTAAATCAAATTGGGGCTTAATCAATTCACTAGACTAAGAGTCTAAGACTAGAGTAGGAATCTTTTTCTTTTAATTTCTCAAGCTATTAAATTGATTAAGTTTATAACTAAACTATAGACTCGTAAGTGTGATTTTACACTTACTTGAATGATTGAACCACTAAAAGTGAGCATTTTGGGAGTGCTTGAATTTAGATACTTAATTTTAGGATTAATTTAGGAGAAAACCTAGCTTGGGTGCGAACGGATGAAAATTTGATCAATTGGATTGAGGGTCACACAAAATTTGAAAATCGAGTATTATGATGTAGAACTTGTAAGTGGAAGGACCAATTAGGCAATTAATGAGGACTTGAAATGAATTAGCAATTGAAGAGGAGTACTAATTTCCAAGCAAATGAAAGTCATCGCAAGGGCCAAATTGGGGTGTTGTCGTACAATTTATGCAGGGGCAAGTTCTAGATTAATTTGGTTTCTTACTTCTATTCAATTTATACATATGATATTTGAGACTCGTTTAAGCTATTTTAAACTCTTAATAGTTTGTCTTTATTTTTTATTTTTGGAACACACAATTTTAGAGATAAAAATACGTTGCAATTCAAGATCTAAGAGCAAAATCAAGGGTTTTGAAGAATTGGGTGTTGAGTATAAAATTATTGGTCTAAGATCCTATTCTTTCCTTCATCTTTATTTCAAAATTCAGTGATGGGTTCTATTCTTTATAGGGCCCAAGAACAAATGGCCTAACCTCATAAAAATAAAAAATAAAAATTAAAGGGATGGGTTGACCGGCCAACCCAATTAAAAAAAAGTGCTAGGCTAACGGCCCAATCTTATAACAAAACAAAAAAAAATGGAAAGAACCAGCCCCCCGCCCCAGCAACAGAAAGCCAAAGAAACCGGAGAAGACGAACAGCACCGCCCGCCCACTATTTTCTTCCCAAAAATTCTTCCGACGGAGCCCAGCACTCACGGTCACCCCTGGCCGGGTGCTGGGTCTGCCACTGTATATATATATATATATATATATATAGATTGCTTATTGGAAGTTGACCTCGAGCTCAATAGTCTTGCATTTTCTCTGTAATTTCATTAGCATAAATTTATATTTTATGTTTCTCGAGTACGGATTGGAGGTCTAACCCAAGTATCCCTTTTCGGAGCTCTATATAAAATATCATCTCATATTATAAATAAACTCGTCTGAGTTCACAGTGAACTCCTCATAAATTTGGTAGATTATGTAAGAAAGTACTTATGGAAGTTACTAATGGAAAAGAAATTGCATCATTTTTCTATCCTTACTCATGCAATTAAAGTACACGTTCATGAAATTAAATAACACAAGCATATAAGCAAGTCCTCTTCCCAACAGTTTGACCTTGTCTTGGCGCGTCTTTGGCTTTACGAGAGAAAGCTCGCCGGAGAATAGCAGGAGCGAACCCTTTCGGAACGGGTTAAGAATGGGCGCCACTATCCCAGCCCGGATCCAGCCAGGTTCTATTGATCATGTCCTCTACCCAACAGTTTGACCTTGTCTTGGGGCATCTTTGGCTTTACGAGAGAAAGCTTGCCGGAGAAAAAAATCTTTCTCTTCCCGTCTCGGGTCATACTCCAGTTCGTCCACAGAAGAAGAAATCAAAATGCATCTTGCTCTAGAAAAAGAGAAGCAAAACTGTCAAGCATCTATAATATTATCCATATCACATCATCAAACAGTATTTTTCCTTTCTCACACGGTAGGATCAAGGCACTATCAAAAAAGAAGAAGAAACTAAAATACTGTACATTAGTATCTAGTCATGTGAACTAATGGAATACCAAAAACCTCCCTTCATATTTTCACACAATTTTGGAACAAAAGAAATTAGAAGCATATTTTTCTGCTTTGGACGAGATAGAAGATGTAAAATCTAGTATCTAAGAGGAAATGTCTTTGGGAGCAACTAAAGGAAGTGTCTAAACGTATCCAGGAATCAGCGAGTGATTCAATTGGTCTTTTCTCTCTCCTCTTTCACTAGTAAGTGGTGGGTTTCCCTTTTTTCTAGGTACATACCTCTTGGATTCAGAGTTTGTTCCAAGCTCAAGGATGGTGCAAGTACTTGTAATCATGGGATAGGTTGTTTCTAAAGGCACAACAACCAATAAAGTAAACAGTAATAACCAAAAGAAGAATGCAGAAGATAATGAAAGCCAATAATCTCCATTCTTTCTTAATATTATTGAGCATTGTTGTCTTACATGACTCAGAGTCAAAGCATAGCTGTTTTTGGACATTGTTCCATGTCTTGCAGTCGGGATCAGGCACTTATGCTTTAGGCATTATCCAGTAGGTTGCATTCTGGAAGTCAAACCTACTGTAATTTGGTGGCTTGCAACAGCCTGACTGTCATATATATGACAATATGATTATGACCAATAAATAAACATTTATCACGTATTATGGCTGTTGGCATGAGTTGTCTACAGAAGAATTAAATGAGCAAATTAAAGGATGTGAATTCCTGCATTATAGGGTTAACAGAATCAATCAGAGCCAAAATTATCTATAAATTATAGCAAGATATGTGTATGCCAAAATAGGAGTAATGTTTATTGTGTATATATACCATCACCATTGTAATTGACATGAGTAACTTCAACATAAAAAAATAAAATCTGAATTCTTTCTCCAAAATAACATGGTATCAGAGCCAGTGTATTGATCTGGCCATCAGTTCGGAAAAAAAAAATTTAAAATTGGAGAAAGCAGAAACGAAAGTTCAATCTTTTGCACAATTCAGATATTTTCAGCGATCTCCACAAAAACGGTGGTACATTTCAACAACATTTGGTGGGTTCATGTTTTTTCGGTTTTCTTTTGCAATTCGAGAGTAAAATCCTATAAAGTAAGACACCCTTCACCATGGCACATTTGGAAGAGTCTCCTTCATCAACTATCATGTCCGAACTCACTACAAAAATGGTTGTGATACTATCCAAAACCTCACCTCCAACCCAAACTACCAACATGGCCACTCACTACAATTACGCTTTTTGGCCTCAAGTGGTAGAAATGTACATATCTTGAAAAAACAAGTTGGTGTATATCAATGGTAATTTTTCCCAACCTCCATCGACAGACCCAACTTTCCGTAGATGGCGCACCAACAACGTCATAGTGAAGGGCTGGTTAATCAGTTCCATGGATCCATCATTAATTGAAAATTTCATTAGACTTTCGATGGCAAAAATGGTGTGGGATACCATAGCAACAACCTATTTTGATGGGAGTGATACCTCTCAAGTGTATGACCTCTAGCACCAAGTAACATGCCTGAAACAAGTAAGAGGATCACTAGTGAAATACTACAACGACCTGCAGGGATTACGGAGAGAAATTGACTTTTGAAGGCCAAATTCGATACAATGCCAGATAGATATTAAGAAATATAACACTGTGGTACAAGAAGATCAAGTGTTTATCTCGAATGGCTGGATGATAGGCTAGATGGCACTAGAAGAGATATTTTTCAAATGAAACCATTCCCCAAGGTGGAGCAAGAGTATGTCCCAATTAACAGGAGGTGGTACGACAAGCAGTAATGACAAAGGCCACAAGCGAGGGAACACCAGGTGCTATGATGGCATCTAAAAGCCTGAAGATTGGAGCACCTGCACCAAAGTCGTCCCAAAGTGGAAGGCTAAATTCCACTTCTAAATCAAAGGTCGCATCCGATGGGGAGAAATGCTGTTATTGTGGAGGTTCTAAACACACTCGAGAGACATGTTTCAAGCCAATGGCTATCTCGAATGGTGGTACGAATTGCAGGCAAAGAAAAAATGTGATAATCGAACAGGTGCTTTGGTGGGCCAAGCTTCAGTTGCTGCAAGTGACTTGACTCTCTCTCTCTAATTCCAGCGGAAGCTTACAATGCTATTGCACAGGAAAGCTATAATAATGCCACTACAGGTACCATTCTACTCGGGTCCAATATGAAGGATGCTCATACCGAATAGATCCTTGACTCGAGGGCTCCGACCATATAACCTATGATGAAAGGGATTTCTTCCAATGGTCTACACCTCGGAGAATGAGCATTGCACATGCTAATGGAAAAGTTTACTCGGTAATTGGGGTAGGTACCGTGGAGTTGTCATGAGACCTATCCCTGTCCAATACATTACATGTCCATTCTCTTTCCCATAAGTTATTATATGTGAGCAAGATTACCAATGCACTAAAGTATGTTGTGATCATTTATCCTGGTGTTTATTTTCTTCAGGATATTCTCACCCAAGTGACCATTGGGTGTGGTATTGAGAAGGGGGGACTCTACTACATGGAGGATTTGAAAGTGGGTCGTGCATGTCAGATTACCCATTAGAATAAATCGAAGGAAAAGCAGACTTGGCTTTAGCACCGCCGATTAGGTCATCCTTCATTTAGTTATTTGAAGCATGTATTTCCTAGTTTGTTTTCGGATGTATCAAGTTTAGAATTTAAATGTGAGACATGAATTTTGGCTAAAAGCCATCGGATTTCTTACCCATGAATTTTGGCTTTGGTCCTGATTACGAGTTGAATCTATTTTGTGATAATAAGGCGACAATTGACATTTCACATAACCGAGTTCAACATGATCGTACCAAGCATGTAGAAGTTGATCGACATTTTATCAAACATAATCTCGAAGCTAAGATAACTCGCTTCCTTGTTGTGAAATCTGAAAACCAGCTAGCAAAAATCCTAACAAAAGTTGTATGTAGTAGGAGTTTTGGCATGAGTTGTATCGACCCGGGTCTCACTTAAAGGGTTGTCTCAGCCGTTAGATCGACGACGTACTATCCCCATTATACCAACATGAGTCTATTCAGCATGGTTTATCCTCACTCGCACACTCTCCAAGAAAACTTCACGGGGTCACCCATCATAGAATTGTTCCAAGCAAGTACGCTTAACTATAGAGCTTCTAACTATGGACTTCCGGAAAAGAAGGTGCACCTTGTTGGTATAAGTAGTACATATCAAATCTTTTAAACTTTCGTGGTCTGGGTCTTACATGAGTTGTCTACAAAAGAATTAAAGGAGCAAATTAAGGGATGTGAATTCCTGCATTATGGGGTCAACAGAATCAATCAGAGCCAAAATTATCTATAAATTATAGCAAGATATGTGTATACCAAAATATGAGTAATTTTTACTGTGTATATATACCATCACCATTGTAATTGATGTGAGTAACTTCAATAAAAAAAAATCTGAATTCTTTCTCCAAAATAACAATGGCATGAATTATAATAGAGAAATTGAACAAAACAGATAAAAAGATAATTAAAATTTATTAGGAATAAAGCTTAATTTTGTTAGCACGAGATCATATATAAAATTAAAGTTCATTAAAAAATCATTAAAGCAAAAGAAATACACGACAACAGGTCTACTATGATTTAATTCGATATCTCAAAACATATAAAGTAAATTTAAAAATCGTTCAACTTTTTTTACTTTAAAACGAACGAAGGAACAGGTATTTATTGCTCGAAAAGCAATTTTCATAACCACTTCAACTTGACCTACATTCATGATACAAGTTCAAACTTTAAGCAGATCAAAAATAGTTAGAGAAAAAAACACATGAAAATAATATTGAAAAAGAAAAAAAAAAAGAAAAGAAAAGAAAAGCCACCATGCATGATTTTTCTGCTACAATTGTCTTCGGCCAAAACATATGAACCATGCGCGCATGGTTAGTGAAACTCACTAGTTTTACAATTTTATTTTCTGGTGCCATTCATCAACTTTTCATGAATAATTGAAATTTTCGTGCTGCATGGATGGAAATTTATAAACAAATGATAGATTTTCATTTCTAAACACAAGAAATCATCATTCTATATCATCTTTGAGTTATCCCAATTGTTATATATACAAATTCAGATTCTTTAAGTTATTCATCAAGTTTTTCGAAAAAATCACTAGTGCTTTATTTTTTCTTCCTTAAAGGCTTGTCTTATCCTCTAAATTACTTGCCAGAAAATCCTAAAGGCAATCCAAGTGGAGGCAAATATATTTTCGAAAAAGCATATTATATACGTGTTTCGTGTAAGAAATAAAATGGAAATGAAGATGATGAAAAACACTAATGATTGAATTGAATCAGTAATTTACTTCATATCTAAAACATGAATACAAGGAACCATTATATTAGATGTACAAGAGGGTAGAAAGGTAAAGAATCATCCAAACAAACCAATCTTTAAATTCGAACGTCTTCTATATCAAAAATGGGTCTCAAACTAAAACTGAAAATTCAAAGCATAACTTTTTCGGCTAGAAGTTGATTTGTGATGGTAATTCGACTCTATTTCATCCCTTTGGCTTCTTTCCTCATCCAATTGATACCCAAAACTCTCAAATCTTCATCGTGGGATCGACATAACTTTTCAGTAATTGCAATTTGAGTCCTCATACTTTGCTTTTTTTTTCATTTAAGCCATTTTTCGCTTGTTTTTCCAAATTTTCACCACGTTCATCATTATAGTTCTACAAGAACAATTTATGTCGAATTAAGCCATATTCAAGCATTTATGCCAACAATTAGTCATGTAATGTAGCTAATTACACGTTAGAAAATGTACTTATCAATTTTACTCATTTCTATACACATGCAGAAGAAGAGAAATGGTGAAGCAGGAAACGGTGGAAGAAAGAGGAAAAAAGAAAGAAAATGAAAGAAAGGAAAAAGGGAGAGAAAAGGAAAACGGATGAAGAAAAGTTAGGTGCCAACTACTAGAAGTTTGAGTTCAAGTTCTTCATTTCTTCAAGAGGTAAAGAAGTAAATTTTTTTTATGGAATGGTGATGTTAAATTTTTAGGGTTCTAATTTGTTGGTTTAATTTTCAGAATTAGTGGAATGAATATAATTTCTTGCTCAAGCTGCTTTATAGATAAATTTCTATTTGAATCAAGGTAGGCAATTCTAGCAAATCCTAAAATTTTTAATTAGTTTATTAAGTAAAAATAGTTTGTGAAAATGTTATGTTAATGGAATTACTCACATGAAAGTATGAATTTATGGAACAAGATCAAAGTTAAATTGGTGTTGCTAGTTGCTAGTCTTAACTAAATTGGAAGTTATGATTATTTCTATGATTAGGATGAACATAAATTTGGATATAGTAAATATTGGTAAAGGTATTCGAAAGTAGAATTAGCTCTAATTGATTAAAGGAAATTTGAGAAATTTATTCAAGTAACGAGAAATCAAGTTTTAATATTCAGTTATTATATTTTGA